TATGTATGTATGTATGTATGTATATATATGTATATATATGCATGTATATGTAAATCTGGGCTCATCAGATCACATGACCTTCTTCCATTGCTCCAGAGTCCAATCTTTATGCTCCCTAGCACATTGAAGCCTTTTTTTTCCCCAGTTAGCCTCACTGAGTGGTTTTCTTAAGGCTACACAGCTGTTCAGTCCCAATCCCTTGAGTTCCCTTCACATTGTATGTGTGGAAATGTTCCTACTTTCACTATGAAACATAGCCCTGAGTGCTACTGTTGGCTTTCTTCCATTTGATTTCACCAAATGTTTAAGTGATCGCCGATTACGATCATTCAGGAATTTTTTTCCAGCCAAATTTCTTCCTCAAAGATGTTGGATCCCCACTATCCTTCCAGTTTTTAATAATGCGTTGGACAGTTCTTAACCCAATTTTAGTAGTTTCTACAATCTCAGTTGTTTTCTCTGCTTGATGCATGCCAATGATTTGACCCTTCTCAAACAGACTGACATCTTTTCCACAGCCACGCGATGTCTTTCCACACGGTTGTTTAAGAAATACAGTTTTGCTTTGTTTGTTTTTAAGATGAGCGCACTGTCAAAAACAAGTGACCTGGGGAAGCACTGCAACTACAAATTCAATTACACGAAATCTTTTTCTTCTTTTGGCTTTTCCCTCTTCAGGGGTCGCCACAGAGTCATCCTCCTTCCTCTCACTCTGTACTCTGTCCAACTGCACTAAATATTACACATAATTTTACATATTTCACTCTTCATGTCTTCATTGTCTGTAGGAACTCCAGTTTGAGAGGCTGACTCGCGAGCTGGAGGAGGAACGGCAGATTGTGGCAAGTCAGCTGGAGAAGTGCATGCTGGGAGCCGAGTCACCTGGAGATAGTAGCAGGTAGATTGGACTATTTGATGCTTCTCTCCGGGAATGACAACAACATTTAACTGTAAACCAATCAGCAAAAAGCTCAAATGTGCAGAGAAGCATTAACTGGCAAAGAAATAAGCTAAACGTAGTGTGAATAAAGGCACAAAAAAGCTAGTAAAAATAAAAAATAAAATAAATACCTATTTGCTATCTCAAAGCCAGAAGTAGAAAAATGTTTGCTAATAGCAGAAAAAATGTTACTTAAAAGCAGAAGCTATCAAGAAGCATTGCATTTCCTGCTGAAAATGGATTGTGAATGCTGACCGCTGAATGATTTTGCTGAAAGCTGCTTTAAAAGCTAGAGTTTACTTGAAATACATCAATAGCTAAAAAAATTAAAGATGAAAAGAATCACAGAGCAAAAAAAAACAAAACTGAAAAATGCAGAAAAAGGTTGGAGTTACATAAAAATAGCTAAAACACGCAGAAATGCAGTAATTAGCAAAAATAAATAAATAAAATAAAATAAAAAAATAACGATGGAAAAAATGACCAAAAAGCTCTAATTAGCAGAAAGAAGCTAATACAAGCCAAAAACAACTAAAATCAGAACAGAATAAGCTGAAAAACGGAACTGAATGCTAAAATGAGTACGCAGAAGCTCAAAGTGTGTGTGCATGTGTGTGAACTGTAAAAAATGAACAAAATGCTGAATTGAGCAGACGGTGGCTTAAAGTGCGTCTTTGTTGAAGTAAACACAGAAAAACAATCAAAATGATCACATTGAGGGTTCAGTTTTAAAAATAAAGGAATGAGCTGAAGCTGAAAGAACAAAAACAATCATAAAAACGGAAAGTACTTGAAAAAAGTGAATCAAAATCTCAAATTAGCAGGAAGAAGCTAATGAGAGCCAAAAAATAGCTAAAATGAGCACAGAAAAAATACAAAAACAGAACAAAATGCTAGTAGCAGCACATAGTAGTTGTGCTAATTTTAAAATGGATTTACTCTTTTAGGGTAGACTTTTAGTTCTTTTAGCTTTCGGCTAGTCTTTTTGTACTTTTGACGTTTAGCCAGCCTTTTGCTACTTTTATCGTATAATTAGCCTTTTACTATATTTAGCTAGTTTTTTATATGTTCATGCTCAATTATCCAGGTAGAAAGTTTCCAGGTAGTTTTTTGATACTGTTTTATCTAGCCTTTTGATGCTACTTTTTAGCTTGCGTTGTGTAACATTTGGCTTTTAGTTATCCTTTTGTTACTTTTGGTAGATTTTGGCTATGTTTAGCTTCTCATTAGACTTTTAAAGCTTTTAGTTAGATCTTTGCTATTATAGCTTTTATCTAGTCTTATGTTACTTAAGCAAGTCTTTTAGCCTTTTTTAGGCCTTTAGGGTTTTTTTTAGCTTGCATTTAGCTATTTTTAGGCTTTAACTAGAGTGTTTTACTTTTATTAGTTTTTAGCTACTTTTTTACATTTCAGCAAAGCCATTCCACACTCAGCATTCACATTACAATTTTACAAAGAATATAATTTCATATTGTGTATCGTATCGTATATTGCATAGCATATCGCATTGCATCTCATATTGCATATCATATCATATACAGTATCGTACATCGCATCGTACATCGCATCGTATATCGCATCATATATCGTATCGTATATCGTATCGTATATCGTGTTGTATATTGTATTTTGGCGCAACAATTTCCTGCGGGATCAATAAAGTTCTATCTTATTTTATTTTTGTGGTTTCATTTAGCTTTCAAAATAAAATAAATATCTGGTTTATATTAGAAGTTATAATCCATTTCAGAAATGTTTTACACAATGTCCTCAGAAGGGTTTTCCATTTTAAATTATTAGATGACGCAGTCTATTATTATTCTTTTAACGTCTTCTTTTTCCCGCTTTGACCGAACATTAAGTATGTGACTGATTCGATTTACTCCCTGCTCTTTGTCTCTTTCATTTCCTCATCCTGTCTGTTACCAAAGCTCTTCTGAGAAGTCCTACGCATGGATATCTGCTGGTAATGCTTCTTATTTTTAAGATGGGATTTTACAAACACTGTACAAGAAATATTAGTATTTCAGCTTTCACTGATGTTCCGTAAGGGTTCTGACACTTCTGGAATTTTGTAAAATCCTGTAGCTTCAGATCAAGTCAAATCTGGATGAATCTGCAGCTAAAAGAGGATTGTTTTTCCATATAAGAACGTCATTATAGCCTCCAGAAGACTGAAACATGCTGGCACCAGCTAGTCAAGCAAAACAAAACTATGTCTTCACCATTGTGAAAGGCTTTGAATTGGACTCATTTACTATTCAGTCAAAGACCTTTCTGCTCAGATGCCAGCCTCATTAATCACTGTTCAGTAAAACAAAAAGCAAAGCTGAAAGGGAAAAGTTGGGCTTGATTAGTCTTTGCAAGACCTTAATTTTTATGAGAATGTGCCATCTTTTTATTATTCGAGTTTCTAAACACTCTCATTACTGCGTGACTAATAAGGATTTGGGGTTTCCTGTGCGTTGACAGGCGGAGAGTCTCAGGGTGTCGCCACAGAGGCGTCTGGCTGTCTGGCTCGTCATCTAGAGGCGGAAGAAGGACTCTACCTGCCTGAAGTGGACCGGGCCTCTCTGCATGACAGTGAGGGTCTGTTATCTATAAGCAGCACAGAGAAACAAACTGTACAGGGAGCTTACGTTTCTAAAAACAGGCTCTAATTATTGGTCCTGTTTTTTTTTTTTTTTTTTTTGCTTTTACAGCTAGAAGCTAAGATAAAACATGTTTTATGACAACTAAATGCCTTTAATAACTTGCTCAGTAATATTTTTCACCTTAAATAATTTCTATACAGTAGTCCCTCGTTTATTGTGGGGGTTGCATCCCCCCCCCCCCAAAAAAAAGTGAAAATCCGCTATCTAGCGACATTATATTTATTTTAGTATAATAATAATATATACTGTATTTTAAGGCTTTAGAAACCCTTCCCACACTCTGGCAGTGTTCTAAACTCTTAAACCTACAAATTTTAACAACATACGTATATGTAGCTACTAAATTTTACTCATCAGCTCCACAGAACAGCAGCAGCTCGGTTCCGCTCTGACTTGGTTTCGTTTTGCCGGACCTACCCTTTTGGTTCTGGTCGCCTCTCTGGCTCGGGGTAGTGGTGGTGGGCTCCAGAGGGAGTGCCGAACCTACGGGAAGCGCGTCTCCACTCCGTAGAGATATTTCTAACCCGAAACCCGAACCCGGAGCCCAGCCCCACACGATCTGGATCCGGACCGGGCCATACTAATGTGTTAATGTGCAGGCGGGGTCAGTGTCTGGCTTTTGATTGCGTCAGCAAATGCGGGTAGCTGACGATTCAGTTATATGGCAACATGGCTTGCCATACGGTCACCAGCCGCATGCAGCCATTTGACCGTGCGCCATATGGCCTTGAAAGAGGTAAAAAGTTCAGTTAAGCTTCAGATGGACTACTGCCAGTGATCCATCAGCTCAAATGGACATTCATTCAGCCACTGCACTCAGTGGACGCATGCGACCAATGACCCAAATAAGTCAGATCACAAAATATCTGTCTGAAATGTATGCACGAGTAGAGCAGGGTCCGTGTCTGAATAATGCAGAATGCAGGCAAAAGCAGGGATTTAATACGCTTTGATGGCCATGAAAGGACCAACACCCCCTCAGCTCTGATCTTCTGCCCCCTTAGCCACGTATGTCTGCCGACCGTTAATAATATAAGCAGTCAAAGCTTAATTAAAAATCAGGGTTTTTGGGGGGGGTTCAGACCTGTAATTACTGTTAATTCTTTGGGTTGGGTGGTGTTCTGAAATGAAGGCTATGGGCTGGGGCCGGGTCGGGTTGGACATTTTGGGCCAAATGCAACTCTACTGCTCGGGGGTCCTCGTGGGCCGGCTAGCATCTCTCGGATTTGCCGATGAGTCTGGAAGTCCGGTTCTGGTCTGGTTCCCAGTGGGTTCCATGTGGCTCTCTGCATCAACTGGGTGCTAAAGTCATTGTATGAATAAGCAGTCCTGTACAATTTTTTTTCTCGTGTTCAATCTTACTTTGAAAAACCGCGAAAGAGCGAGTCCACGATGGTCGAACCGTGAAGTAGCGAGGGACTACTGTAACTCAAGTTTAAGAAATCAAGCGCTGCCCTGGTTTTTCAAGACGCTTCCAACTTGAAACATCTACTTTCCATTTATTCAGATCACCTACATAGTCTCAGAACATAAAGTATCCTCCCTGTTGCTTGAGTCTTTATTTTTAGCTGTTAAAGCTCCACGTGTCTTCACACCTGGAGGACTGTATTACAGCTATGGCAGGTCGTTGTTGGACATTAGGCGTCTTCGCTGGAGTGTGTGACACTTTGTTCCCATCATTCCTCCTGGAAGATCGTGTTAAACCACAAAAAATGGGCAAGTGATAACGGTGGAGCATCTGGTGCGTCTGTAAATTATTATTTTGCAGGATACTTTCACTGCAGAATACACAAGTTGCATGTAAATTTCTACCACGCAACATATCCTTAAAATTCCGAAGAGCAATTAACTTTAGACTTTTTTCTTTAAAGGCGTTTGATTTTAGCTTGAGTCAACATCCACTGGCTGAACAGCGTTTTTTGAAATATTTAAACAAATTTGCCTTTGGCTTATTTGTCTTCGATGCAGTTGGAGTGGTCTCAGAGAATAAAAATATCCCCCACACAAGCATACTCCTCCTCCTCTTCCTTCTACAGCAAAAACTAGGCCAGCTGATTGTTCCAAGAGAAGCATAAAAGCTTCACTCGCATATCCATGTGGATGTATTTGGGTGCATAATGCCATGTTGTAAATTGAATACCAATGAAGCTGTAAATGTTTTTACTGATGTGACGGGTGTAGTTTGATGTCACCTTAAAGCACCAACACCTCTTTCCTTTCTGTTTAAGGCTCAGGAGGTCACTCAGCTCACATGACCTCGTACTCAGACAGCGGCTACCAAGACAGCAGCGTTAGTTACTACAGCAACCAGAATGTGGTGCGTTCAGAGCCTCGGGCCTCGATATCAAGGAGCCCAAGAGCAGAAGGCCAAGCCACTGGGCAGGTAGGCCTTATCTTTCAGGAAGTAATCACTGGGCGAATTCAAGATGGCTGCCACAGCTAATCAACCATAGCAAACCGAGCGCATCCTAGAATTGCGCCGTTCTTCTAGAACTGTCTCCTTATGCCGTTGTTCTAGAATTGCGCCGGTCAGGGTGGCTGCATGTTGGAGTAGCTCTGTTGCATTCATTCTGAAATTTTGCTTTTGAAAACTTTAATGACTAATTTTTCTGGATGTAAATCGCTTTTTTCGGATGATTACTTCCTCTGGTATCAGATGCTGTGCCGGTGGAAGGATTTTTACTGAATTTTTTTTTACTTTTGGGCAATTGTTATGATGCGTAACCATGACAACAAGGTGGTTTTCTACAACCGGGAGCTGCTGATTAACATCTCAAAAGCTCAAGTAATACCTCAGCTGCAGCTCCAAATCCCAGATGAGCTGAAAAGGAGGTGACGTGGATGCATTCCCATCTACCAGGCGGCGGTTCTCGAGTGCCTGGCCGCCGAGATCCAGGAGCTGGCAGAAAACAGAAAACTTGTGACAGCGGGAGGGCCAGGATCCTCGACATCTGCAGTTCCATCCGCGAGGATGAGGGGCTCGGCTGGGAGGAGTGGCCATTGCTCAGGGAGGAGTTCTGCCCGGCATTCAGGCAGTAATGCTGCCCAAGAGGGCCTAGAGGTCTGCTGGGTCCAGGTGGATGGATCGGCATCTGCAGCCAGTTTCTTCTGATCTGCTGTGAGACAGACTGCTGCAGATCCTGTCTGCCTACAGACAACATCTATAACAATTCTTTAATGAAACCAGGATGATGAGCTACAACAACAATTAATTTCCCTTTGGGATTAATGAATTATTTTTGAATTGAATTGAATTGAATTAAAACACAGGGATAGCTATAACTTAATTTGACAAGTGCTGAGCTAAAGCTTGACATGGTAGTAGCTGAGAGTCATCCCCAACACATTTTCTGAGTGCCATCTGATCTTGCATGTGGTTTTCTGAACGGCTGTAGATTTTGAAATTTTCTTAATTTAAAACTCTAAATGACTCAAACTAACCACCAGTTAGTGCTCAAAGTATGTGTTGAGAATGATGCTCAGCGACTACCATGACACATTTCAGCTCACCAGTTTTAGATGATGAAATTATTACTTTTCAATAGATTCATCAAAATCCATGCAGTGGTTCATGAGATATTTTACTAACACAACACGCACACACCCCAAACACAGGCAGTTACTTCATCAGCTGCCTTTCATGAAAGCTTGTTTCAAAAGATCAAAGTTTTAAACCGTTTTTCTGGCTACAACTCAAGAATTATGCTCCTATAAAGTGACTTTTAGGTTTGTTTTTGTTGTCTTGCAGCAAAACAACATTTTGTATACAGTATTCCTCTTCTGAACCTTGGGCAACCAAAGGGCCAGAAGCAGGAAGGGAGAAGACTATGTGACCTAGTTAGTAACTCATGCATCTAAACCAGTGACCCATTACTGCACAGCAGCTATTTGTTCAGTTCATGTTTTCCACTCATTTTTTTCTTTCAGTTGTTCCCTGTTCAGGGGTCTCCACATCGAGTCATCCTCCTCCATCTCACTCTGTCCTCACTCCAACTACCTCCATGTCCTCTCTAACTGCATCCATATGTCTCCTCTTTGTCTTTTTCCTGGCAGCTGCATTTCTAACATCCTTCTACCAATATACCCACTGTCCCTCCTCTGGACATGTCCAAACCATCTCAGTCTGGCCTCTTTAAATTTATCTCCCAGTTGTTCAACCTGTGCTGCACCTCTGATGATCTCATTCCTAATCTTATTCATCCTTGTCACTCCTAAGGAGAATCTCAACATCTTCATTTCTGCCACTTCCACTTCTGTCTCCTGTCTTTTTGTCAACACTGTCTCCAGACCATACAACATAACTCGTCTCACCACTGTCTTGTAAACTTTTCCTTTGACCTTTGCTGGCAACCTTTTGTCGCAAATCACTCCTGAAATTTTTCTCCATCCACTCCATCCGGCCTGGACTCTCTTTTTCACCATTTTTCCACACTCCCCATTTTTCTGGACAGTGGACCCAAAGTACTTTAAGTCCTGCACCTTTGCGACCTCTGCTGATGGTGATGATTGAATTTAATGATGCAGAAAATCTGGTTCATGCATTTGTCACGTCTAGACTGGACTATAGCAATGTTTTTTTTTTATCTGGGTGTCCAAATACTTCTTTAAAAAGTCGTCAGTGAATCCAAAATGCTGGAGTTCGTAGGAGAGATCATATCTCTCCAGTTTTAGCTTCTCTCTATTGGCTCCCTGTCAAGTCCAGAATAGAATTCAAAATCTTATAACTTACAAAGCCCTCAACAACCTAGCTCCATCGTATATTACAGAGCTTATTGTTCCATATTTTCCTAACAGAGCACTTCACTCTCAGACTGCAGGTTTACTTTTGATTCCTAGAGTTTCCAAAAACAGAATGGGAGGAAGAACTTTCAGTTATCAGGCTCCTC